GCCCAAATTCATAAAAAGTTAATAAAAGCAATTCCACTCCTGCAGATATACCAAGGGAACTAAAAGCAACATATACTCATACAAAAATTTGTACATGAACATTCACATAAGAATTATTCACAGCACCCAAAAAGTAGAAACCACTAAAATGCGTATCAACTAATAAATGGACAAAAAAGTATAATGTATTCTTATTATGGAGGTTTATTTGGCTCTAAAGATGCAATGAAGTAGCCGGGGATTTAGCTCAGTGGTTCTGCCGCCTGCCTCGCAAGCACAAGGATCTGAGTTCAATCCCCGGTACCAAAAAAAAAAGATGCAATGAAGTATTGATACTTGCTACAACATGGATGACCATGACATTTCACCCAGGGAAACCTGTGAGAGAAGGCCACATTGTGTATGATTCTATTTATATGAAATGTCCAGAAAGGACAAAACCATAGATAGTTGATTAGTGGCTGCCTGAGAATGGGTGGAGGGAGGGAATGAGTGACTGTTAATAAAGATGAGATTTCTTTATGGGTGGTTAAAATGTTTCAGAACAGTGGTAATGGCTGCAGAATTTCGGAATATAATGAAAACCACTAACTTCCTAAAACTGTACACTTCTTAATATGTATGTAAATTATATCTCAATTGGTAGGCCTTACATGAATTAAACTCTTTCATGGAAATACTGAAACATCATAAACTCAAGACCAAAAGGCTGAAGAGAGTGTCCTTGACTGGCTTCTGTGGGGCCACACCATCCTGGAAGCCCACTCACCTTTCTGAGCTGTTCAGCCTGCCTTGGAAGGCCTCTCCTGCTGCTCCATCGTGACATCCCTGGTCCTCTTCCCCTTCCTTCTGCACTGACCGTTGGTTCAGCCCTCTGCCCTGGCTGGCCACAATTAACACCCTAACGCGGATGAGCCCTGCACACTTGCAGTCAGACAACCCAGACTCCTGCTAGGGCTTTTAGATGCTGAAATCTGCCTGTCTAACTCAGAGTAACATCTCTCCAAAAACAATCACCTCCTCTCTACCTTATCACCCAGAAGCCAGGGTTTTCTCCTTAACCGCCCCACCACACACCTGCTTTACACAGCCCACGGGCTCTACTGAATTCTCTGTCAATGTCTTCTACATTCTTCATTCTTTCTAATCAGCTCTACTCCAGGTTGTAAATCTCACCTAAATCACGCATCACCTCCTTTCTGTACTTGCATCTAAAACCTGACTCTGCTCACACAGCAACAGAAACTCTTAACTCCACAAAGCCTGTGACTGGTCCTAGGAGACCTGTGTGTTCTGGCTCCTACTTCTCCCCCCAAACCCCTCACCCCCATTCTTGTGTGTCAACAGTCCTGACCCACATGTGATTCTTTTAGTTCCAGGCACTCACAGGTGCCAACACCTGTCTTCCTAACTCTCAGACGCCTGCATCGTCCCTGTCCCTAAGGTCCGTGCTGAGTCTTCCCCTGAGTCCTCCATGGCCTGCCTCGCTGCCCCCTTTTGGGCACGGCAGCACTGTGAGCTCACCCCCTCTATGCAAGTGCATTCTGTGGCACAATGGCTTCTGTGCCTGCCTATGCTTCCTCCTGAAAGATACAGGCTGGCTCTGCAGAGCTCCACCTTGGCGCCTGGCACAGAGGCTGGCAGACAGTGAGTCTGAATGACCCAAGCAGTGACACCAAATCAACCATTCTTACACTGCTTTGCTGCTGTCCAAATGAAAGATCTTTTATATGCTCAACCTTGGTAATTTACATGCATTCTGAGCAAAAAAACAGAAATAAACCCTACATTTCTATTCACCCATTTTTTTCCATGGAGCTGTAAAAATGGATCTGTTTTTCCTTTTGGTTTTATCCTGAAAGCATACAAGGCATGTGACACAGATTAGCATTACTAAAGTTCACTCCTTTAAGTCTCTACTTGGGAAACCTTGGGCTAATATAAAATTTTAAAAGACTCTTTCTTTTCTTCAGGAGGATACTGTAGGAACCAATGAAATTTTCGTGTATTGTTTGGCTTCCTTGAGGAGAAGGTACACATTAATAAAAGAACAATACTGGGCCAGGGATTTAGCTCAGTGGTTCCGCTGCCACCTGCCTCACAAGGCAAGGTCCTGAGTTCTATCGGGTACGAAAATAAATAAATAAATAAATAAATAAATAAAAGAACAATACATATGCAAAGCAACAGTCCAAAGTCAACTTGCCATGCCCCCTTAATCTATGCCAGACCTTATGACTAAACCTGTTAGAGATGATGGACTTTTCCAACCAGTATTTCCAGTGCTCGCTTCGGCAGCACATATACTAAAATTCAACCAGTATTTCCAAAAGAAAAAAGCTAAGCACACTCACAAATTGTAAACAAGGTTGCCATATTTTCCTTGTTTGAATTGGAGTCTTCCATTTGCAGTGAAGGCGGTACAAAAGAAAGACTGTCTGAAGACACATCCACGTGACCTGTCCCCATAGCAACCTCCTGGGTGATGGAGGAGACAGCCACAGGCTCAAGGCTGAGGCCCACTTCATGGAGAGAAACCGACTCTAGGGAGGCAAGGTTGTGTGAGGTAGAGAGAGCCACGCTGACAGAGTTGGTGCTCATGGGCACGGTGTGGATGGAGTCGCTGAGGGCACTGTCAGACATCCCGCTCACCCGACTGGTAATGTGGTCTGTCTCCATGACCACGGGGAGCTCCAGGCCGCTGCCATGAATGGGGATCACACCACCATGTCCCACGGTGTCTGCGGCAAGGTTGCTGCTCACAGAATCCACAGAGAGTGGTTCGTGACTTCGGGAGCCATTTGGGATTTGGGAGTGCTCGCCTGCAACACCTTCCATTGCGAGCTCCTCTGCCATTCCATCGGTGGAGATTGGGCTGGTGACCCTAGACACGTTCTCCATGGTGATTGTGGTGTCCAAGGCCACCTCATGGCCATCACTGGGATGCAGACTTTGGGCACCATGTGTGTTCACAGAACGAGAGTCTATTGAAACAATGCCTGGTTCCAACCCAACATTTCCATTGGACTGATAGGGATCTAGAGCGGAAGGAGTGTTGGCGATAGATAACGCTGCATTGCCATCGACATTTATGGAGTTGGGGTGGATGTACTGAGGAGGTGGCCTGTCCGCCAGATAGGATAAAATGCCTGAGAGAAGAAAACATGAGACATCAGAGACTTTTTAGTATAACGTTAAATATAAAAACTTCAAGTGGGCTACTGTGCCTCCTCACACTAGTGTACTCAACACCAGGGCACTGGTGGCGAACCTTTCAGAGCTCTCAATGATACAAAGAGCCCACAGCAGCATGCATGCAATAGGTTCGCCACCACTGCTCTAGGGTGTTTTTTATTTTTATTTTGCCTCCCTTTTTACTTGGCCCAAACTCACTCTGCAGAGCCCATTTTTCCCCTACCCTTCTCCTTTTTCCCCCTCTACCTCCAATAAATGCGAAGCTTTGTCACCATTTAAAAAAAAAAAACTTTAGGGCCGGGGATTTAGCTCAGTGGTTTCACCACCTGCTGCACAAGCGCAAGGACCCGAGTTCGATCCCCAGAACCAAAAAAAAAAACTTCAAGCGGTAGAAGCTATTTTCCTTACAAGTATAAGTTAAAAAACCTACTTTTTAATTTTAATGAATCTCTACACAAATAGCAACATATATACACATACATATATATATGTATGTGTATATATACATCTCTCTCCCATTTGAATTTTTCCTATGAAATTCAAATACCAAAAAATTTAGATACTTTTGAAACCAATTGGAACAAATGATTTAAATGCTGCCTTTAATATTTACATGATTGCAATTCCTAAGTCCTAAGATGCTAAACTTTGCTCAATAAGAAATAATTAAAACAGGAGTCCAGCCCAGGACCTCAAATAGAGGAAGACTCTGTCTCAAAAAAAATTTTTTTTAAAGTTTAGCTTTGTGCTGTAAGGACGTGGCAAAATGTTACTTGGCATACTAGCAGAGTAAGCATAAATTACTAAAAGCTCTTTGGGAAATAAAACACCTTTAACCTCATGAAAATGTTCATATCTTCTTGCACATGAAATTCTACGTGTGGCAATCTTCCCTAATTGTATTTTTGTAAGTATTACACACAAAAACATTCATATCAATTATAATGCTAATAAAAGCCTACAAAAACCATACTGTCCAACAATAAAGACTGATGATAATAACCCACCACATACTCATTCAACAGAATGTAATGAGCCATTAAAAAGGACAATTATGCCGGAGATTTAGCTCAGTGGTTTTACCACTTGCTATGCAAGCGCAAGGACCTGAGTTCGATCCCTGATACCAAAAAAAAAAAGACAATTATGAAAATGAGGCAGCAACAGGGGAAAATATTAAGTGAAAAAGTAAACAATTATACAGAAAATACGGTCGTGTGAAAAACAGTAAAAAATCTGCACACCAAAATTAAAAGACAGGAAGAAAGCACACCAATGGATAAAAAAAAAGAGGTGGATAAGGAGACTCAGAGTGGTTTTTGTCTGTCCTTATTTGCTGTGTTTTCAGAAGTGAGCATATAATACTTTTAGAACAAAACAAAACTTTAATGAACTTCAAAAAATGGCACCGCAGCAGGACATGTGGTCGATAAGAATTCACTGTACAAGGGCCGGGGATTTAGATCAGTGGTTTGGCCACCTGCTGCGCAAGTGCAAGGACCCGAGTTCGATTCCTGGTACCAAAAAAAAAAAAGAAAGAAAAAAGAGTTGACTGTACAATTAGAAACCCTGGGCTACAGGCTGAGGCAGGAGGGTTGCTGAGAGTTCGAGGCCAGCCTGGGCTACAAAATGAATTCAAGGCCAGCAAAACCTTGTCTCAAAAAGGCAAAAAAAAAAAAAGGAAACCCTGGGCCAAGGAGATGCCGAAGGAGAGAAAAACTGTGCAAGTAGCAAACTGCGCTTAATCAGCTATACTAAACCAACTTAATCTGCATCCCAGGTATCCAAGAGGAATGTACATAGACATAATTTTCCCACCTAGAGGTTACTGCGTGACCATGACCAAGACAAAACAAGTGATACTCAAGTCGAGAGCTATTACGCTTCTAAAAACAACTCTGAACCTCACCGGGGAGGATGGTTCTGAAGTAGCTGCTCTCCAGGTGAGGGTAAGGTGGCGGAGGGAGGGTGTAGTTTCTCTCAGGTAACCCGCACATCACCCCACGATCCCCAATCCCCATTGGAAGCATCAGAGACAAAGCGGAAGGCAGGGAGCTCAGGGATGGACCCAGGTTTGGAATTGCCACTGGCAGACCTACAAAAAAATAGTTTTTTAATTAAAAGAAAGTAAGTACTTAACAATTCTCTCTGTAGCCACAGGCTAGACTTCTTAGAAGGATTTTCTCACACAGGTAACAATCTCACCTCAGCAGCCTGATATCCCTAGACCGTGGTGTGCCAGCATCCAGGAACACGGCCAACGGAGCCCTGCTCCCAACACAAGCGTTCAAGTTTAAGATGTCAAGCTGATCCTCCAGTTGTCTGGATTGTTTTTAAGCACCACAACATTTAATTTACAACTAAAAACCTAGTTTAAATACTATGTAAGAAAAACTATATGAATTTTTCAGGTGGGTGGTCTGTGGTAGTATGGATTTTTTCCTGGTTTTTACTTTATGATATTTTCCATTCTACATGGTGAGGATATTCCACTTTGTAAAAATCTCATAAATGTGCTTCTACTTGGAAAATAGTCTAATAGAGTTAAGTGTAAAAGTGCACATACACATTTCCATACAGTCTCTTGTACATATGCTGTATATCTGTGTCTATCATGCAGCAAACCTATCTGCAAGCAAGGCAGTGAAATGACTCCTATCACGGCTGAGTGTCACAGTGAACATGCACAACTTGGGCAGTGCTGATTTGTGTATTTTTGCCATGAGCACCATTTTTAATAGGCTGTTCCTCCTTAACAAGAGTCCACTAAAAGGAACGCCTGCCTAGGAGACGGTCAGACAGGTTAGCAACTCATACTTTCTTGTATTTCTTTGGTGTACACTTTACAAAAGGAATGTAACAAGATCTTAGTTTCAATGAAACATTCAATTGCTGCATTTTACTAATAAAGCAGGCGATTCTCTATAAAGCACCATTTAAACAACTCACACATTTATTTAAAGTACTCCCAAACATAACTCCTATTTTGATAAGGTCCAATATGTGACAATGTCATAGATTCTTAAAAATCAATACCTTACTCATTTCTTTGCCATTTCAATAGAAAAAGAAAATAAAATCAGACAGAAAAAAATGTTTTAAAAGCACAGTGAAGAGGCAGAATGGGCTTCTGGTGGACTCTTCTCCCTGAGTTCCATCTCTGGTCCTGCCTCTTTCCCAGAGTTCCAGGCCTGGCAGATTTTCAATTTCAAATCTAGTAGAAAACAAAGCCCAATTCCCCATGCTTTCTGGGAATTAAAGAGCAAATAGACTGTTCTCTTCTACTCACCCAGGGCTTTGGTGCCCAGGTGTAACTCCAAAGGGCAACCCAAAACAAAATACAGTCAGTTACAGCTCTGCACAAAAGGCTCCCAACCCCAGAGAGGATCAGAGAAACAGACAGGACTGGGGAACACTACAAACATGCTTTCTCCTGTAGGGCTTCCTGGTTTCTTCTCCAGCTCCCCTCGCTCCTCTCAGACTTAATAATGCAGAGCAGGGAGAGAGTGCTCTCCCCGACCACTTACCGGGGGCAGGGATGGCACTGTGCGTGGGAGAAGCAGCCAAGCCCAGGTGACCTCCTGAGACTGGTAAGGCATTGCTCACTGAGGAGGAGGTCAGCTGCTCCATCCCCACTGGGCTCAGGTTCATTTCATTCATCCTAGGAAAGAGCACACACAACCGGTTATGCCACAAAAATCACCCCGGTGACTCCATGTGAAAGCACTGGAGAGTCTGAGGCCATGGGGACAGGAAATGGGGCCTGACCCACTATTGAGGTGGATGCTCACAGCTCTCTGGGAGAGCAGTGTCATACTCTTTCTACAGATAAGGAATCGAGGAATCAGAGAGGATCACTCCTGTTAGTGTCATGTAGCAAATAGGATTTGAAATCAGGCCTGCCTTTTTCTAAACCATCCATAGCAAACCTGCAATCCATAGAGCACATCAGCAATGACTGCTCTGTCAATCACCCAAGTGTTCTCTCCCAACAGTTACTGTCTCTAATTGGTTTTATGACTTCAAATCAGTATTTTTTAAGTAGTGTAAGTGGCCCAAGCTGGGCTCTAACTTAACGATCCTTCTGTCTCCATCTAGGAGCTAGTATATCCACAGGTTTCACACATACGTTGGCCAGGTAACTCATAAAATTAAGGTCTCAAATATCAACTAAGTTGATATCAAGCTAGTACAGGACATTGTATAGAACAGGCAGTCTCAAATTTTTTTATGTGGACGGAGTAGTACAAACTCATCATCCTTACCAAAAAGACAGCAGATGAACTACACACTGTATGAAGAGCAGTGATCAATAATAGTAATGTATTACTCTACGAAAGAATGTGAAACTCCGTGGGACCCACAAAAACTACAACTACCTTAATTTTATTTTATTTTTGGTACCGAGGATCAAACTCGGGTCCTTCTGCTTTCGAGGCAGGTGCAGGAACCACTGAGCTAAATCCCTGGCCCACAACTACCTTAATTTTGAAAGTTTCTGGGCTTGAGTTGTTTAAAACAGGTTTCTCTGATAACTTTTTACAGCTGCAACCATAGCTAAAAAGTAACAATCCTTGGAGCTGCAATGATCCACAATAAATTGGTTACAATAATTTTTAAAGTTGAACTGAAAGTTAATAGCTTCAATTCCCATTTGAAAATTCTTGAATCTTAACATGCGTTCCTACCCCAAAGGGAAAAAAAATGGTGTTTTTAGGTTGACTCCTGGGCCTTCTCAAACTAGTTTCGACCAGAGTTCAGTGAGAGACTCAGCAGACTTTGGCTCTGTTGGGAGTCGCTGCAACCTGATGACCTCTGCAGCCACAGACAAAGATGACCAGGATCCCACAGAGAAGGCAGAGAGGGTGGAAACAAGAGGATCCCCCTCAGGCCTCCCCACTTTTCTCATACAAGGTACTAAGCGCTCTCTTCTTCGCTACCCGTTTGTGGTAAAATTATTTCTTACCTTCTACCGTGTGTGTATTGTGTGTCTGTGTTTCTAACCAACCTGTGTAACCTCTTGCTAGTTACAGAGCCCACACTTCTTCCTTGGAATGACAAGGAAGGTAGCAACTCTGCAAAATGCAAGGGACAGTTTCAATCACATCAATTAATTTGTGAATTTGTCTTCCTAAACGTACAGGCTTCGACAGGATCGTGAAAAACTGCCAAGGACAGCTCTGCCTGTGCCGCCGCGGTCCTGCACTGGCGGGGGCCCTAGCATCTTAACTGTCAGCACGAAGCTCAAGCTCGCACAGGAAGACCTTCCTCTCCCGGCTGCACCACCCTTGTCTGTGGCCAGCGCGCCTCAGGTGACGCTCGAAGACGCGAAAATACCCTTCCAGACAAAGCTAACTACACGCTGAGATGCCGGCCCCCAGGAGAAGGGTGTCGCCGCCCAGCCAGCAGGTCCGCGCGCATCAGGAGGGGCAACCTCCTCGCGACTCCGTCCCCCGGAAGGCGACTGCACCCGCAAACCACACCGGGCCCGCAGGGGCCCCAGGGCGCCCGCGCGCCCCGCTCACCTGTGCGGCCTCGCGGCCCGGCCCAGCACGGCGCATGCCGGGCGCCAGCCCCGCTCCGCTCCAGCGGCTCCGGGCGGGCGGCCCAGCCTGGGGGCGGCGCGACAGCTGTCAATCACCCCGGACGGCGGCGCCCGCGTCCCCCGCCACCCCCAGGGCACCCGCCGCCCGGGGCAGCATGGGCGCGACTCGCCCCGGCGACCCTCCCCGCGCCCCGGGGCCGCTCCCCTAAAGCTTCCCGACGCCCCTCAGGGCCGCACCCTCGGCGGTGCGTTTCCGGCTCCTCGGCCGCTCTCGGCCCCTCTCGGCCCCAGCCTCTCTCGCCCCGCCCCTCGCGCGTGCGCCCGCGCGCGTTCAGCCCTGCGCGTGCGCACCGCGGGACTGGGGCCGGGAGGGCGGTCGTCGAGGAGACCTGGACGGCTCCTTGGCGAGCTTCGCGTGAATTATATATTGGAATGGTGATACTGGGGCTCTTGATTTAAGCAAGACGTGCCGTCAGTGTTTATAAGTAAATACATAAATAAACAGTCCCTGGCCTGGCGCCCTCCTGGCACACACAGCAGAGCCCACAGCCCGGAGGCCTCTCCTCCCGGAGCCGCCGCCGCCTGCGCCACGGCCTCGCAACACGGGGAGCCCCAGGTCCGGACCTCCAGTGCTCGCAGCCTGGCGGCACCAGCACCCCCAGAGCTCAGTCCAGTGTGGAAGGGCAGAGGCGCCCGTGACCTCTGGGGGAGAACGCACATTCCGGACCAGGGAATTCTGCGCTGCACATCAGCAGGCGACATTAGTTTTGCTGTCTTGCTGACTGCAAAAGGAAATCGAAATAATTGTATCACAGGCACAGCAGTCTGAAATCTCACTCCGCTCTGGGACCTAGAGGACGCGATGCCTCGGCCATCTGGATCTGGACAAATTGTGGCTGCCCCTTTCAGACGAAGTTTTAGATCCAGGGGTGACACAGCTTCAGTCCTGGGCGCTGGAACTTAATTGTCATGGGCCTGACCCCAGGTGTTCTGAAACAGCTTGTAGAAATCCTGCCCCACCAGGCGATGGTGTCAGGGGTCTCTGGGCAGTGATTAGGTCATAGGGTGGGTGGAGCACTCGTGGTGGCAGTAGTTAGTGCCTGTATTAAAGAGACAGTTCTCTCCCTCTTTCCACCACGTGAGGATGCAGAGCAGACAGCAGGCTGCAACCCGGGCGGGGATGCCACCAGAACCCATCTGTGCTGGCGCCTGATCTCACGTGGCACCTCTGGTTTGTTGCTTAAGCCATCCGGTCTAAGTTACTTTGTCACAGCACCCAAACTAGCGGCGACAAAGCCTTACAGGATGTGAGAGCCAGGTGCCAGCAGGCTAGGGTCAGCATTGCCCAGCTATGGACCAGTTAGTGACAGAGCCAGATGGAGGGGCCACAACACTTTCCAAGCTGTTTCTATCTATACAAAGGTTTGCTTCAAGTCTCCTAAAGTTACTGTTACCTTCAAAGAAACATAACAATCCCGATTGTCACCATGTTGGTTAGACAACAGACCAGCTGAGTTGCACTGCAGATGGTGGCTGCAGGGCCACCCTATACACCCTGTTCCTCTGCTGTCACCCACCTCTCTCTCCCCAAGAGAAGGCAGGCGTTAGAGAGGGCAGAAGGCCTGAAGCTGCTGTGGGTTTTCCTGCTGATCCATGAATCTGTAGAACTGTTGCTAGCGCCTGGTTGCTATCCCGAGCTGTGAACCTGTGCTTTACCGAGGGCTGTCTGGGTGGGGACACTGGCTTTTAATCCTCTCCTTGGGACTTGCCAGTGTGGGGGAAGGGCTGCCAGTGGCCTCTTCGTGGAGGGTCACACACTGTCACTAGCCACAGCCAAGATGGAACCACAGATGCCGCCGAAGGACAGTTACCAAACAGGCTCCTGCCTGCTGGGGGTGCTGCTCCTGAAGCTGCCTCAAATTTGTGTGATGGGGAAACAAATCTGATGAATTTTTTTTTTGAGACAGGGTCAGCTGTGTAGTTCAGGCTGGCCTTCAGTTCACTATGGAATCTAGGCTGATCTCAAAACTCATGGTGATCTTCCTGCCTCACCCTCACAAATGCTGGGGTTACAGGCATGCACCACCACTCCCAGCAAAGAATTCTATCTCTAAGTCATTGGATCAGAAGGGGCTTTGGGGAATGACCTGATCTGCCTCTGTAAGCTTTACAAAAATGAGGATTAAACTATTCAGAGCAAAAGCAACTCTGTTCTCTCTTAAAAGAACTTTAAACCAGGTGTGATAGTGCTTGCCTGTAATCCCAGTGCTCAAGAGGCTGAGGCAGGAGAATTTTAAAAAATAAAAAAGATCAAAAAAATAAAATAACTTTAAAGACAGAGATTTTCCACCAGATATGATGGCACATGTCTGTAATCCCAGCACTCTGGGAAGCTGAGGCAGGAGGGTCACAAATTCAAGCCCAGCCTGGACAACTTAGCAACTTAGTGAACACTGTCTCAATAAAAGGAGGGAGGGGTTCTTTTTAATTCTAATCTTTTCAAGAACCAAGTTCTCCTCCACCAAAACTACAGGTCCCAATTTTACGGGTGCTTCCTTTTTGGTAAAACTCAGAACTTTTAAAAGTACCCAGATGTGCCATTGGCTCTTGATTCTCAATAGATCTGACTAAAAGCTTCCAGTAGTACCCATGCCACAGCCTGAACATACAGCTGTCTTGAAATTTACTCCACCAGATTAATTAGTCTGCCACCCTTAACTTCAGTCTCCTGCAAAGTCTCAAGACATGAACAAAATGCAGGCAACCTTATGTCAGAGCATAACACACATGGTATATGTTGCCCAACTGCCAATGGGAAACATTATTCCCAACTGAAACCTGCTGAGCTTGGCTTTCGCTTTCTGCATTTTTGTCAGCATTCAGGTCTTCTGACCTCTGACCAGTATTGCCCATTAAGCTTCGCTTACAGCATCCTAGGGCTTCTCTAGCCAGCATCACCCATCCTTTCCAAACCACTTCCAAAGGCCTCTGAACTGCATGGGCAGGCAGTCACAGCAATGACCCCACTCTTGGTACCAAAACCTGCCTTGGTCATTTTCTCATTGCTGAGATGCAGTACCCAGTACCTACAACCTAAATGAAGAGAGGTTTATTTGAACACATGGTTTTTAGAGCTTTCAATCCATAGTGGCTGGCCCCAAGCAGAAATGGCCTGAGGGAAGGGTCAGGAGAGGAAAGCTGCTCACATCATGGTGGTCGGAAAGCAGAGAAAAAAGAGAGGCCCAGGGAGAGAGCTCACGTTTCTAGGCCACACCCCCAGTGGCTCTCCCCTTCTGACCAGGCCCCACCTCTGGACAGCAAGTCAGTTATATTGCCCCCTGATCCAATCATCCTCTAGAAACCATGCCTATGAGTGCATGAGGCCTTTGGGAGCCATTCTCATCCAAACCGTAACAAATGAGGAAGCTGAGACTTAAAGGGGTGAGGGACTTACACAGGTAAGTGATAGAAAGCCCTGTCTGGCTGCAGAGCCTCTCTTATGTCATTCATTTGGTGTCTGTGCATTTGTCTGACTGAGCCTCCCTCCATCCTTCAGAAAATATTAACTGATTGCCTGCATGAAGCTTAGATCTAGTGAGAGGAAGAGTTAATTAGGGGAGATTCTGATGCACTGGTGTTTGACGCTCGGGGTCTAAGTTGTGGATTTTCTGGGACTTCCAGTTCTTAAGGCTGTAGAACCTGTTACAATACAAATCAACAAGGAGGTAAAGCTGCCGCTCTGCTCCGGCAGGCTGAGGTGGCAGTGGTTAGCTCTGCAGTGACTCAGGTAGAAGTCTGCGAGGTCTTCTGGCTTAGCAGCACAGCACCTCGGCCACCCAGGGTGGGAGGCATCCAACAGCATCCTTGAGGGCCCTGGTGAGTCAGGGTTTGCTTTCTGAACTTCATCTTCCAGCACCCATTCTTTTAAGGAAGACTTCACGGGTCAGGAGAAGGGCTTGCTTTGAATTTCAATTGTTAGTCATTGTCAGACTGAAAAAGCTTCCAGCAACTCCACAATGCGCTGTGAAAGGCCAGGTGAGTTATTTGAGGTCTCTGAGACTCAGCTCTTCATCTGTACAGGGGCTGGGATGTGGGCTGTCTAGCTCCCTGCAGGCTCAGCCTCACCTAACTTTATCTCATTTAGCTCCTGTGTCATTGGATTTTCATGTTTATCCTGTTTCCATGGATACATGATGAGCTCCACTTAAAATTACATCCTCTGTGGGATCAGGACTTCATGTCGCTGCTCTCTCTGGGAGTCCAGGATGGCAAACAGTGCCTTCTGTGAAGCAGAATGGTGAGCAAGAGCATAAGGTCTCCTGGGCTCACATTCCACTGGGGAGGACAGGAAACAAACAGAAGAATAAACAGGCCCCCGAATGTGAGAAGTACTGCTAGCTTTGGATGTGTCCCCAGAGGGCACGTGTTGGAAACTTCCTCCCCTTTCAACGGTACTGTGAGGTGGCCTGTTAAGAATGACCAGGTTCCAGGACTCTTCACTCATGAACGGATCAACTTGTCCTTGAGAGAGCGGTGTCCCGATGAAAGGAAGGTGTGCCAGTCAGCTTTCTGGTACTGTGACTAATACCCGCCACCATCAGCTTGCAAAGAGAAAGGCTTATTTTGGCTCACGGTTTTGGAGGCTCCAGTCCATGGCTGATTGGCTCTGCTGCTCTGGGCCTGAGGGGAGGCAGCACATCATGCCAGGGATGTGATAGTTAACTGTGGTATCAGTGGTAGTAAGAAATGCCAGCAGATTGTCTAGCACAGCCCTGGGTGAATCTGGACGACTGACATACTGAAGAGAGAAGACCTACCTTGGGTTTCTAGCCTGGATGGAATGAACAGGAAAGGAGGAGGAAGTCTCGCTTGTGCTTCTTCAGAGGCGCTCAGGTCTTTGCCATCACCTCTGGCCATCAGTCTCCAGGCTTCCAGGGCAGACCCCTCAGCCTCACAGTGCAGACCCTCTGGCTTCCAGATACAGACTCCCACGGGACTGCAGTGAGCTCTGGGCCTCGGACAGGATTCTCACGCAGATGGCTCTTTGGCATTCTTCCACACCTGACTCTGCAGGCCACCACTGTAAACTAAATCTGTTCTGCTGTGAAGCCTAACTAATCCAAGGGAGCATGGGGCATGGCAAAGCTACTCACCTGTGGCCAGGGAGCAAAAGAGAAAGAAACTGGGGCCCTGTAATCCCCTTGAACCCTGTGACCCAGAGACATCCCAGGAGGCACCACTCCTGGAGTCCCCATCCCCTCCTGACAGTGCCAAGCTGGGACACGGGTAGGGGACATGCTG